CTGTGTATCTAGAAATAATATCAGTTGAATGAAATTTAGTGATTTGAGATTCATTTTGGATGGTTAAACCAGAAAATGCTGCCCAGTTTTTAGAATGCCTCGGACATACAAACGCAAAACTGGATCGTATAGCCTAGATGTACTGTATGCAGCAATCAGCAAGATCCACAATGATGGTGCAAGTGTATATAGTGCTGCAAAGAATTTTGATATTAGCAGAGACACACTGAGACGCAGGTCACCAAGAAACCAGATAAAGATGGAAGGGCTAAAATGTGGGTGTTGACCGGCCAAGAAGAGGTGGTCGTTTTCGTTGGTCTGGAAAAGTGATTTGCTCTAGCCTGACCTTGCGGAACTGAAGAAATAAAGCTGATGATAATGACTTATCTAGGCAGTGTTGAAAAGAAAATGGTGTTCCATGATAATTTCCCCAGCAAGGAGTGGATGATCTTATTTAGACAACGTTGGGGAGATCGGAATATTTTAAGAAGGCCAGAACTCCTCACCAAAGCTCGTGCGTAAAATCTCAACCAGGAAATAAGTTCAATATTTTGACATGTTCTACAAGGTCCTATCGACTCGAAATTGCCAAAAAGAGACGCAGACCTGTGCAGGCAAAGGAGGGATGAGTACTAACAAGTACATCTGCCTTGCGAAGGCTTCCAGAGGAAGCGGGAATCAGATAAGCAAAGCATGAAGCTTTGTCTTACAAGGTTTGTTTGATGGTGTGGAAAATAAAGGTCAATGTGAGGAGCTGGAAGGCAATGAATACTGTTAATTGGTCCACCCCTTCTTCATACAAGTGGACTCGCCTAGTGTGTACTTCTACTGCTACCGGTGAATACCCGGAAGTCAGTGAGTGACAGTGATATAGTGATACAGTGAGAGAGATAGAGTGTGAGGTAACCGTTTTATAGGAGTCACAGTTGCAAGCACGTAGACTCAGAAGGAAGTCATACTTTGATACTGAATTTCCTAGACTGTATATATATTATTATTGCTACTAACCGCATATCTGGATCTACTAAGCGTATTCCCAATTGTATTTTTACGTCAATATATTTATTTGCTATATTTCATTCCTGCGTTTGTCATTCATTTGAGACTGGATTTCATCTCGGAATCCACAACAAAGACAGTGAAAATGAGGATAACACAACTGTGTTTTTGTGTTGGACACTGGCGAGAACCTATACGCGGAAGGGACATGAGTAATTTGCGCATATGTAACAATTATATGTCCCCAAATGTGTGCCTAGAAAAACGAATTTAGATGTTGAGTTTTAATGCAGTAAATATTCTGCTGAGCTGTCATGGAAATACGCCCATTGATATTTAGAGCTTGTTTGTGTTATTCTTGTTGAAAGTGACCAGTTGCATTCATGAATTTCCATATCTCAGCTTTTACTGAGTGCTTTCTTACACGACCGATATTTCCCCACCTAATATTTCGAAACTATGACAAAAGATGTTGATATGGAATGGTCTGCCATTAGGGAGGAAATTATATTGTAAATAACCACTTTGCGACCTTTAATATGATTTGTAATCCTTATTCGACATTTATTAAGAGTCAAATTGAAAAACAGGAGGAAACTTTCCCAAATTTCCCCACTCTACCCTATAGCCTCGGAATGAAACTCCAACGCTCAAATTTTTAACCTAAACGTAAAATTTAAAATCATTTCCTCAAAAACGACAACGATTTGGAGAAAATATTTCATTTATTGTTGCGTGGCTCTCCCCTTTTTATATAAGATAGACTCGTCCAAAGTATACTTGTACTGACAGATAGAATACCTCCGTGGAGATACGTTGAGATACAGTCTCTGACTGTGTGCGACGTCTGTCGAACTCTCTGCTATGGCAGAGAGGAACCCGGACGAAGCTTTGCCGGAGGGCAAAGTTTCGTCCGGAGAAGTAGACAGTTCCCGAACCCGCTTATGCGAGTTCAAAGGATATATTTTTTGGCTGAGCCTATGGGCTCGGAGAAACCCACGTTTAAGCCGGCCTTGTGCCACATATATTCCTCGTGGGTGGACTGTTAAATATTAAAATAAGTTGAGACAGGTTGAGAGATACGGAGACAGACACAAGGTGTTCTCAGAGAGTTATACAAGAGTCCAGAGAGAGAGAGAGAGAGAGAGAGAGAGAGGTGATTACGGCTTTACTCACAGAGACTTGTAAATATACTTTCTACTAAACCGCATTCCTGGACTATTAATCTTCACTTCAATTCTCTATTCTTAAGTTTAATACAGTTATTTTTCTATCTCAGTTACTGGCGTTGTTTATTTATTTGTGAAAGATTCCATTCACGGAATCCACAACATTTATCATTTCACTTATTTTTAAAAATTCAATGATCCCAACTTTCTCTGTCCTGACAGCTGAAAGTACTTTCTTTGGCGCTAAAAGAACCGACTGTCCTTCTAAAATCGTTAGATATCATTCAGGGTACAATGGATAAAATGTCGACATATTATATTTTTACTTTCGCACATACACGTTGTCTTTGATTTTGTCGAATGCATAGTAGGGAAGGGTCAGTTGAAGCACCGACTTTGAGAAAAAGAGAACCATGATGCAATTCACTCCGCTAGAAATTTAGAAACGGAATGCTCTACTGCTTGGTATTCGCAAATGGAAGATGCAATACGAAACTTTCAGAGTGTTTGAAGTGTCAATCCGAGGACAGTGCAGAGGATTCTGGAAGAGTCTCATGGTAAATAAGAAGGTACAACAACTCGGAAAACTCACTCTCATCGTTCCGATAAGAAACGAACTAACGAAATTGGTGGTGAGGGCATCAGACTCAACACAAACGCCTACAGCCAGTGTCTTGCATAGGTAGTGCTACCTTGGGTCAAGAGGATGGAGTCTGACAGTATGACTTTGCACCATGCCACACAAGAAGAAGAACATAGTCGTGGCTGTCAGACAATTTCTACGAGCATATCAGCCTTTACACCTGGTTACTTAAATCCCCAGAGTGCAACCCCCCTTAGAATTAAATGTGGGGCACATTTGAAGAGATTAACTGAAGGCAAAGAAAATGGCAGCGTTCACTAACTTAACCAAGGACACCGCTTAGAAGAGATGCAGGAAATTCGAAAGTCGTCTGGAGGCCAAGGTGGAAGCAAATGGCGATGTTATTGAATAAATCTGCTCTTGAGTATTTCAAGATATTTTTGTGTAATGTTTGTAAATATGTCTGTTAAAATGAGATGTGTTATTTTAATTTTCGCATAATTTAGACGCACCCTATATATAGGAATTTTAATTGTGGTTTGTAGCGAAGCGTCGCCAAATAGAGTTTTAATGTCAGGGGCTTCATTTGAATTTACACCACGACTATCGTAGATTCTCTATCTACTCGTTAACTATTACTTTCAATATGTCACAGTGGGCTCGAAAGCAGACATTTGGTTTTATTAGAAAATGCTTCATGTGATATTTATTTTAACTATTTTGAAGGTAAACAATCACAGAATTACAAAATTCGTCTTAGTCTTAACTCTAAGTATGTAACAAAGTATGATCGTTGAGGTTTAGTAAAACTCGCCAGTGTTTGATTATATATTTTAGACAATTATATCATAGTTTCGGCGACGTTCTTGTGATTAATTTTCATAAGAATCTCCTTGAAGTGAAAGACAGGTCTATCTTGAAACTATGTTTCAGATATCTTCTTTATCAAGTAAATTTGGAAGCACTATCAAACAGAATATGTTGTTTATTTTACCAGTACCTTTGTCAACATCACATAACGGTAACAAAATGCCCAAGACATTTTTCTCTTTTTAATGCAACCTCACAAAAATTAAATCGATGTAAATAGGCAAAGGGTGAGGAAATTGTTTTTAGGATGATAATTAAAATATACTCATTCGCTTTTAAGAGTTACCATTACCTGTTCTAGCCCCATACACCAGGCCTCAAATATGTTTCGACAGAACTTACTTTGTATTTAGCAGAATGTGTTATAAGTGATATCGTGCACCTATGTATACTATAAGAAAACATCTCGCAACATACTGCATTTCTTAAAATAATATAAATTAATATTATTGTAATTTTTAAATTAAAAGATAATATTTCACTAAGTACTATGAATTTGGTGATATTTGGATAAAATATAAGAAGTCAACTATGAAAAAATATCACACAACAGCAACGTATTTTTTTCAATGAAAAAATCAACTGCCTTCATCACTGCTTTACAAATTCTTGTTATTCTTTCCATCTCTATAATAAAATGTAGATAGTAGACCTTCCGAGGCATTTTCACAAGCACCGAAAAAGTTCACACTTACTCCTTGTCTATTCTCTGCGAACTAGCATATCCAATTCATCCCATGTTAATTCAGTTGGAGAAAGGTAAGGAGACTGAGGCAACCAAGACATGGCTTCCGGAATTCTTTCTGACTTTTGACTCGAGATTATTTTGAAATAATTTAGAAGAGTGTTTTGGATCATTGTCTTTTTAAAGGGTGATATTTTCCAATTATAGAAGTTAGATACTGTTCAAACAAGAAAAGAAAAGTTAAATATTAGATATTGAGTTCCACGTGGATAAACTTATTCGGTGGAAGAGACAGGGTGTTTTTTTTAAACTGGACAATGAGATACGGTCACAAGGTAAACATTTGTTGAGCTGCTGACAACAAGCTAAATATTTCGGCAAGACTGTAGATTCGGTCTCAAAAGGCATTTTGTATTATTATTGTAAGATCAATTCTGTTTTCTACGGCTTACCTTTTGCACTGTATTTAAAGCCAGCGCTTATTTTTAGATCGTAAGAAATCTTTTGTAAATAATAATAATTTAATGATACGGGGCTTGCTATTTCACCCATAGTTGGAAGGAGAAGAGATGTATTTTTACTTTTTCCAAGGGATTTACACGAAAGTGTATATAACCTTACCCAAATAAAGTGAGATTCATTTCTCTGGTTAACAATTCTGAGTCATTATCTTTTACATCTCCGCACATATAAGCTTACAACACCTTGGATACCAAAACGGACACCCATCTCGATACTGACCAGGATTTATGCTGCTTAACTTCGGTGATCGCACGAGAACCGGTGATTCAATGTAATATTGCCGTAAACAGGAGTCAAAGGAAGGATAAGTACGAACAAGTACATCTGCCTTGCGAAGGCTTCCAGAGGAAGCGGGGACCTATGGTGAGAGTATAGAAAATATTATTGTTTTTATTAGTCTTGTGTGAAAGAGCAGTATAAAAAATAATAATGACACAAATATTACACGCATAGTAAGAAGACAGAGAACTTTGCGTTACGAAAGATAGGAAATTGTGGAAACCCGTGACCGCTGACAGTACACGGTCCATAAAATAAGAAGTGAAAAATAGAAACGATTGTACAAATATTTGTTTTCTTAACGCAATCGCACAAATATAGAATCCATGTTCTTAATAAATGTCCTTGCCTGTCTCATCTATGCGTACTTTCAGAAAATATGTAAATATATTCTGATTTTGTTATAAATCTTTTGCAACCGGCCTCAGGATATAATGTTTCGATGTACGCTGAATGGGAAAAAGAAATGATTCCTGTAATATGTTACATTTGAAATATGGCTTTCAAATTATCTATAAATTAAGGTTATTTCCATTTCGTTTTCTCTTTTAACAGGATTGGTCATATTGCAAAGCTAATACAAGTGTTGCGCTCTCAGAAACCTTATACGGGTTCTATTGGATTAAGTAATAGCTACGATATATTGCAGGTAAATTTGTTGGAACTACCACGACTATAACGTGATCGTATATCATTTGTCAAACAAGTGCAGGACGTTATCTAGAAGCAGAGGTTTGTCTATTCTCTGAAGGTGTTAGTTTGTTCATTAATTTTGAACGCAAGAAAACGTCGCTAGCTAAAAACATATCATCGTCATTCGATTTGCTCTGAACACAAGAATAATACATTTACTATACTTGACATGTTTCGATAAATAATTCACGAAGTGTTAATTACATTTTTTTTTCATTTTTTTTTTAATCCTTGAACAAGTCTACAATAAAATGCTCGAAGTCAGGAATATATTGAGAGAGATATAAAAGAAATTACTATTGATAAGACAGCGTGAAAAGATGGAAAGAAGGAAAATTCGGTAAGATGATAGAAGATGTAAGGCGATGTTAATAAATTTGAGAATTAGGTGGATTTGTTTGATGAGGCAATCATGGAAATTTCATTTGAAAAGTAATTAGAACCTCATCATATATATATATATATATATATATATATATATATATATATATATATATAGATAGATAGATAGATAGATAGATAGATAGATGTGTGTGTGCGCGTGCGTGTGTGTTTGTGTGTGTGTGTCGGTGTGTCTGTGTGTGTCTGTGTGTTTGTGTGTGTTGCACTTAGAGTCGGTGTAATGGTTAGCAAGCTTGTCTCGCTAGAAGAATTACGACTGAATGTTGAATTCGATCCTCACTGGCTGCCCCCTAATTTCGGACTTGGGCCACATCTAAGCTATAATTGGAAAATCACTAATTATACATATATATATATATATATATATATATATATATATATATATATATATATGTGTGTGTGTGTGTGTGTGTGTGTGTGTGTGCCCTTTGCGTATGTGCGTATATGAATTCGTGTGTGTGTATTTGTGTTTGAACTTCTAAAACACCTAATGTATATAATGTTTCTATACGTACATATGTGTGTGCGCATGCGTATGTGTATATATGAATTCGTGTGTGTGTTTGTGTGTGAAGCTTCTAAAACATGTAATGCATATAATGTTTCTGTACATACATTATATGTGTTCCAAAGGTTGTCATAGCGGGGTGGGGGTTTAGTGCGGACGAGCTTCTACTCTCTATAAAATGATTCCGTTGCTTCCGTCTCAAATAGCTTCTGACAGCTAAATCCAGCGTTAAGCCGGCTAATGACGGAAGGTAGAAAAATGGCGCCACATAATCAACTGCTTCAGGTAGATGGAGTTCGACAGCCCAGGAAGGCAGCTCGTCTAGGGAAAAGGAAAAGTTAAAAGAGGAAAAAGCTAAAGGAAAACCTTGATTTTAAACCTGCGCGGCCTTAGGGTCATATCCAAGCATGGAAAAGGCTATGAAACTAAATCCGGACAGAAAACACGGTGAGGAGTCCCTGAAAATTTCTTGCTATGGTGACAGGCAAAGCGTATATCCAGTCACTTTCCTATACTGAAAACGGTAAATCTTTCGCAGCTGAGTTAGTGGTAGAAGCATTTTCGTTTATAATCGATTTCACCACGATTCTTCTGGTTAGCTTGGAGACTAATTATGCATCCTATACGTTCTTAATATTATTCAAAACATAATCTAACAATTGAAAATTTTGCTCTTACACGATTTCGAATTCTATTTCCTCCCGTATATATATATATATATATATATATATATGTGTGTGTGTGTGTGTGTGTGTGTGTGTGTGTGTGTGTGTGTGTGTGTGTGTGTGTACATAGATATGCGGCAGTGTAGTGGTTGACAGAAGTTACAATAACTTCTTCAGCGAAAATTGAAAAATTCACTTTCGCACAGCGGGTCGTTGTTTGGTTAAGCAACACCTCATTCCTTCGAAGAACAACAACCACCCACCCACCCTCTATGATATAAATACATTCTTTCTTTATTATGTGTCGTGCCTTCTCACAAATTCCTATTCGTTGTAGATCTAAATAAATTTTGTTTTTCAGTAATTTCTCCTAAAACCTGTTCCGCCATGCATTTACTGAAGTTCACTAAGAATGTCATGCATTGTTTTTCTTTCTCTCCCTAACTTGTTTTAAATATATCCTGTGAGTATCAGATTTCTGATGTTAACTATCAGTTTCCTTTTGTTTTCATTTTCTCTTGTGGCTCACATGTTCCGTCCATGGTATCCTCAGCATCCTAATGATTTGTGTCCAAGTTGTTGAGTCAAGGATCCTGGAGGTTGTTTGGAGATTTTCACTACAAACACACACACACGCGCGTGCGCACGCATTCATAGGATTTTGATAGTGCAGGTTAGCAGTAGTTTTCGTAATATATTAGGCCTAAATTTAAGTGGGTTATAGATGGATTATATTATATGTTATTTATAATGACCTAAACAGTTTTACGAACAGAGACATTACTAAATAGATTTTCAACATCGAGTGAGTCTAAGGTTTCATTGTTAGGTTTTCATTATTTAGAATTTGGATTGCTTCAAGTGTCCCATATTATGATCATGACAACAACACACACACACACACACACACACACACACACACACACACACACACACACACATATATATATATATATATATATATATATATATATATATATATATATATATATATGTACAACGTAATGGCGTCTCCATGGGTTCAGCTCTTGGTCTAATCTTTAGCTACTTGTATATGTCCAATTTAGAAAATATCTATTTTTAGCAATTTTAAAAAAGACCCTCCATCTACTTGACATACGTAGACGATATTCTTTTATTAGTCAAAAATATTAAGAAATATTTAAGCTCCAAAAACAGTTCCAAGACATCTCCGTCGTTATGTTTATATATGATCACAATCCTACTAACAAATTTCCCTTTCTCAATATACTGATTAACACCAATAATAATAAGGTTACCATTTCCGCATATATAAAAAAAAAAACTACCAGCATAAATTCGTGTACGCGTAACTATAAAAGCGAATGTCCAAATTACTATAAAATGACAATTATAAAAAAAACTTAATAAACCGTTCCAAAAATTAATTCATCCACGAAACAGATCTTCTACAGCGAACTTAAAAATATAAAACACCCATCAATAATAACTTCCGCAATTGCATTGTTGGCGAGAAAATAAGAGACCTCTATAGAAAACATATAGAACATAATAACCATCCAACTAACCCTGATCATATCAAACTTTTATATCGTAACCAGATGCATGATAATTATAAACAAGACGTAAATATCATAAAATTTAATAAAAACGTATACATCAACCCCAAACCCTAGAAAAAAAATGTAAAACTTATTATATACTACACTAAATCCACTATATCTAAGAAAATCATTCGTAATGTATGTTTCTTGTTCACTTGCGTGTTGTAGAAAATCAACATCATTTATAAATTTCAATGTCTTCTGGGAGATTGCATCTCCAGCGATAAAAATAATATCGATATTTTAAACATGACAACAACGCTTTCAAGAAGTCTTCACCTAAATAACACGTGCAATATCATTAAGCATTTTCAACATACCTGTCCACACTAGCAATTTCAGAAAAGTCCTCATCGAAAATACCTCCATATTTTTCCACGAAAAGAATAAACACAACCTAAAAATTCAGGAATCTAATTATATTAAAACATTGAAACCATACCTCAATAAAATTAAATGCGAATACTCCACAAACATTTTAAAATGTGTACAATAGTTTGTTTTAAAATGGTAGCGCTTGAAATTAATATTTTTCCTTTATCTAGCAACAACTCAAAACCGGAGTTTTTCCAAAACATAACGAGTTACCTCAACGTTAAGCAACTGAATGATAAGCTGATAAAATACTCTCTATATTTCTGGGCAGACAAGTAACATCGAAGAAACATTCTGTGTAACGCATTTCGTTCTCTAGAAGCTCTCCATCAGACTAATGAAATGTTTATATAGATGGATTTATATATACCAAAGAAGGCGACGTCAAGATATATAAAAAAAAAGCAAAATTCGATTATGATTATGTGCCGATAGAAATCGTTGATTATTTTGGAACGCTGAAATTTTAAATTTTATTTTATTTTCTGGCGCAACAAGGCACATTGTTTAACCAGTTTAATTCAGATTCCTGGTGATTTTGATTATATTTTCAGAATAGCAGAAAATGCTAATAGATTTAAATACAATAAAAGAAAATTTCTTTTTTTTTTTTTTTTTTACAAAACCGGCTCGAAATATCTAGATTTTTGTTTTCATATATATTAACCAATCAGCGACGTCATACTAGTCGCTGTGTATTCATCGACTTCGCAGACGATTAAGCTTTTATTGAATGAAGAGGATCACTCCAGAATATGATCGACAATATTTTACCT